AAAAAAAATTAGTAAGTCCAACAATACTAAGTATTGGCAAGGATTTGGTGGGGGGAGTGAGTCCTCACATACAATTTATGAACATAAACTGTACAGCCCTTTAGGAGAACAATGAGGCAGTATTTAGGAAAATTCTGCATGCATATACCTGTTTTGTCCCAACAATCCCACTATTCTGTAAATATTCCAGAGTTAGTCTCACACAGATCCATAAAGGGACTTGTATATACAGATGTTTAGGAGTGCCTGGGTGGCTCAAAAGGTTAAGCACTGGACTAGGTACTAGCCAAAATGCTGACAGTTCAAACCACCCAGAGTTGCCTTGGAAGACAGGCCTGGTGAACTGCTTTCGAAAGGTCACAGCCTTGAAAACCCTACAGAGCAGTTCTACTGTGCACATATCGGGTCGCCATGAATCGGAATCTACTCCACGGCAACTAACAAAAAGGACATATAGATGTTAATGACAGAACTGTTTGAGTTGGAAGCAGTCTATTTATTCTCTGCTGGAAGAATGCATAAGAAAATGTAATGAATGAATATTATGTAATACCATGTAGCAGATGGAAACAATGAACAAAATTTACAAACAGCAACATGTATAGATCATCAAAATACAGAGCTGGGTGAAAAAAATCTTAGACATAGAACAAGACTTAAATCCCAGTATTATTTTACAAATGAAAAAGAAATATATAAAACATTTGAAGGGTACATACATATCTAAGAACATATACTGAATATATTAGAGTGTCTATGGAGGGTGAGGTAGGGAAATGTGAGTAGAGAAAGGACTGGGAGGCAGGGAGGGCAAAAAAATATAATAAGAGAAAAAGGCCTTATATACATAAATAATATTGACCTCTACGATGGCTCTCAATGACCCCTGCTTCCTGGTATTCATACCCTTGGGCAACTACCTCCCACTGAATGTGGGCTTCTAACAAATATGCAAAAATAATGGAATGTCATTTCCAAAATTAGACTGTGACTTCCATCTTGCTTGCCCTCTCTCACCCTCTTGCTGGTATGCTCTAAGAAAAACCAGCTACTATGTTGTGAGCTGCCTTGTGAGAGGCTCACGTGGCAAAGAACTGAGGGAGCTTCCAGGCCAACAACCAGAGAGGAACTGAGGGCCTCAGTCCAATGGCCAGGAGGAACTGAATTCTGCCAACAACAATGTGAGCAAGGTTGGGAGCAGATCCTCCCCAAGTTGAGCCTTCAGACGACTACAGTGAGGGTTGATACCTTGATTACAGCCTTGTGAAAGACCCTGGGTCACAAGTACTCAGCTAGGCCCTCCCCAAATTCCTGACCCACAGAAACTGGGAGATAATAAATGTTTGTTTTAAGCCACTAAGTTTTGGGGTAATTTCTTACGTAGCAATATAGTTATAAACTGAGGTCTACGAGGAACTCAAGACTGGGCAGCTGAGGTCCAAAAGAAAAGGAAGAAAATTCCATGACCTAAATAGTGACTCCCTGGAGTCATACATAAACACTGATAATATTCTATCCGAATAATGTCTTTCGGTTATTCACTGCTATATGCCCACTACCTAGAGCCGTGCTTGGCACACAGCAGGTACTCAGAAATCTTTGAATGAATGACTACTTCCAGGTTTTTGTCTTAACTAAGATTTCTTACCTTTGTTTGCACTCTCTACATTCCTTGATCCTCAACTCATCCCCACCAGAGCGTGGGTTATTGCTTAGTGTCTGCATAATCACCTCTGCCTGAAGCCACACATGCCCTATAGTGAAACCTAGTCTAGGCAACAGTGTTAGAAGAGTATAACTAGGTCCAGCTGCTGAACATATACAGTTGATGTAAATAAGCTTGGATATCAAGCCTCTCATGTCTTTTCTCCTCTCCCTCCTTGCTTAATAGTCTCCCTCCATATCTTTCTTCCCATTTCCTCCACTTAAAAAAAAAAAAAAATCTAAAATTAAGCTGTTTTTTATATATAGATGATCTTCTTTTCTTTTTTTGAGGGCCATCGTTCAATGGTTCCAAACCCAGAAGTCACTCCAGGCTTTGTTTAAAGGTTCTGTGTTATGAAGTTCTCTTTCTAGCCAAATAAAATTCCTTAGGAGATGATGAATTGACATTTTCTAACAAGCGGAAATGTAAATTCAATCCAAGGCCATATTAACAAATGACCTGAAAAATTCTTGGTTATCAAAGGAATGCGTTTACTGAAAATAGTCACAAAGCACCATTAGTTAAATATTAGACAAAAATAATTTTTCCTAATCCTTTCATAGTCTCTACATCTAAAATATCCTTTTCATATGAATGACAACACTGTAAATTTATGATTCTCCAATTATCAAGAATATGCCTTAATCACTGCTAAAATTATATTGTAGGAAGACAGAAATGGGGTATGCCTAGCACCATATCTGGTATGTTTGAAGAGCTAAATATATTTCAGGAAAGGTTGACAGACTGAATTTAATCAACAAAAGTGGTAAACACTACCTATAAAAAACGAGATTGTCCAAAAATTCAGATTCTTGGTTACACAGATTACTAGAGAGAAAAATAAGCACAGGCTATGCCTGCTTTACCTCACCGTAAGTTTTTCCTTTGGGTTATCCTATCAGAATCACCCTTTTGCTTACATGGCTTGAAGACCTGAGTTGGCTAATGACTAAATTCATTTATTTTAAACTGAGCAACATGCAACGTGAAATTGTAAATCAAGTAACGGAGCCAAATTTTTTAAATTAATACTAAAAACTCAATTCTACAGCAAAAGTCCAAGGAAATTTAATATCTGATGCAGTGTGGCATTTCCACCATGAGATCAAAATACTTGAGTTCTAAGATTCCTATTCTCTCCGAAAACAACAAATACAGCCATCTCCCCTATTACTTAATTTTTTAAGGGCTCTTAGGCTAGGTTCCACCTACAATTTTTAACATAATGTGCCAAGAAATATTTAAAGAGCACTTATTGAGTTGAAAGGAAGTGCACTAAAGACAAAAATAACTAAGACAGAATCAGCCCTTGAAATCTCTGAAGTGTAGTAGAAGGGTTATCCTTTTACTCTAGGTGGTTTTTTCTTTGCTTAGTAAGAGGAAACAAGCATAGAGTATTAAGCACAGGCTAAAAAGTCAACAACAATGTTGGAAGCCTGATAATGTTTTTAAAAAATTTATCTGCAAAACTTATTCCCTAAAATAAAAACAGAACATGAAACTCTATCATGCATCTTCCCTAAGGCATTTTAGTAAACTAAATGTGTAACTTGAAAAGTGGCAATTCACTGGTAAGCAATTTTCAGTATGCTCATCTCTGGGATATGAACGCAACCATGATGCTAATTTAAAGTGTCACGTATGATTATGAATAAGCAGAATAAATGAGTGATCCATGACCAGTTATAACATGACATACATTTTCCTTACCTTTATAATCATCACATGATAAATACTCAAGCACAGGAAAGTTACCACCATAAAAAATAGCACCAAAAGGAAGCCTGCTCAGAAAAAAAAATATGTAAAAGTCTATTTTGTATGTATTTTGTAAGCTTTCCCTCAACAGAAGGATAACTAGATTTCAGTTTACCCTAAACAAAAATAAACAAATCAGTAAGTATAACAATTAAAATATAAATTAAAAGCCACATTCAAGCCATATCAATAAACAAGCAAAATCTATTTAGCATGTTATCAACTTTGACCATATTGATTTCATATGCTATCTTTTTTTAAACAATCAAGCGGCTAAAAAAAGAAAGCCACTGTTGTGAACAGCATTTCAATAACGTTAATACAGTAAATTCTATATGATTCGCTAATCTTCCATAGTTGACAAACTGTGATACCAGTTTCAAAATAAGATGCAGTCTCCCTTGTATACTACATAGTATTCCTAGTACTAAATCAATAAGTTGTAAAAGTTTCTTGAATAACCAAAGCCATAAAGGAGCTTTATATATAGCTCTTCATAGTCTAGGAATGTTGGAAAGTTGATCAGCACGGCCTCTTTTTTTTTTTTTTAACGCGTAATAGATGCCACAGGTTATTAATATTAAGACAAAGAGTTCTGATGCTATGTCTTTGTGTAAGAACTCACTGACTACAAAACCATCTCCTTTGGAAAGAAAATAGGACTTCATATTGAGACATTTTGGCCCTCATGAATATTACAAGAATCATTCTTGACACCTTATGTTCTATCATTGTGAACATGGCAAAGACCCACTGCACACATTCTAAAACATTCGGAACGCTTTCAAAAGTAACTAAAGGTCTGATTTCAAGGAGAAAGATATAAATTAGTGCTTTCAACAGAAAAGGGTGCATCACTGTGCTACTGGAAGTTGGTAACTGATATAAAAATGACAATTTGCAGTTAAAAGAGGAAACTATTCTTGATTAAACAAGGCCTGAGATTATCCATGGTAAGGCACTTAAGGATCCATGCTTATCTCTATCTCCGTCACTATACATTGTATGAAACAAATGTTTCGAGCGATAAATTTTCTAAAAGGTACCAACTCTAAACAAACAGGGCCATACGCCTCCCAGAGGACGACCAGCTCTGGAATAATCTAAATAAGAAATAACACCCTCAACAATATCACACCAACTAACAAAATACAAGAAAGGAAGCTGCATCCCTATGTCAAGACTTGCGTGGTTTTTCAGGGGGAAGGTTTTCAGGACCAGGGGCGTGCACGGATTATGGAGAGCACCAGTCAGAAGAGTGAAGTAAAAACAGGTTTACTCGGCCGGACACTTCCATCATGACATTCCACCAGGAGGTGGGATCGGCAGGAGCCCCCAAAGAGTGGCTGGACAGGATTCCGCAGGTAGAAGGAGAACCGTCACCTGAGCCACAGATGTCGAGGACCCAAGAAACCGAAGCATGCACTGGTAAGCTCTCGACGGGATGCTCAGCGAGCTCTCACCGCAGGCCCCCTGAGGCCCTCGGTGGCCCGGGCACCCGAGTTCCCACAGCACCGAAGAGCTAAACACTCACCTGTGGCGGCCGAGGCTCCTCGGGAAACCGCACAGCGCCAGGAGGAGGGAGGAAGGGAAAGGCCGAGAGGGGCTCCCGGCAGCGAGACAGTAGGACCCAGACCCAAACCTCCCCCCCACCCCCCACCCCCGTTCTGCGCTCACAGAACCCAGACTGCCCAGTCCAACCGTCACCGCCCACCCCCCAGCACTACTTATGCTTGCATTTGAAGGCAAACACGCAGAGCCACTTCCGGTGCCGGGGCGGCGGTAGCGACTCTGGCGCACGCGGGGAGACGCCCTGGAGCGAGGACGCCGGGTGGCGTGCGCGCGCCGGACGCCGGGCGCATGCTGGGCACAGTTGGGCAGGCCCTGGCCGCGGGGGCGCGCCTGCGCAATCCCGCGTTGCCTCTTTAGGACTGAGGGCACCCGGTGGGAGTGAAGATGACCTGAACTGTAGTACCTGGGGTACCTCGGTGTCTTTTCCGAAGTGCTTGCTCACATTGCCTCCCATTTGATTTTCACCGCATTCCTCAGAGGTTAGGAAGTCAGAGTGTCTCTTTTACAGGTGAGTGTTCCAGGATTAAACAATTCGTTTATGACAAATCTTATTTTGGAACCCAGCTCTCAGAATTCTTGGGCTGAGGCCCTTGTCACGACATAATGTGACTGAAATAGGTAGGGAGGAGGCCAACAAAAATATTCAGAACTCCTGCTGGTGGATTTTTCTTTTTTTGGTCACTGTTTGAATACAACCAGACAACAAAATTGTTTTCATGATTAACAGATATAATACTGGACAGTGCTGTTGGCCTTGCTGCCTACAGTCAGTCTCCATCCCCCACCCCTACCTAAACCCGAATAGAGGCAATTGTGACACGTTTTCTTTTAGTCGTGTATGATAAGCATCCCACTAATTTAATATTTATTAAAAACAATTCAGGAAAAAAAATTTCATTCCACAAATAATTATTGAGCAACTGTTTGCCAGGGCACTGTGTTTGGCACTTGAGTATACAGTGGTCAACAAAATGCACATGATAAACGCACAGTGAAGCCTGTGAAAGCCGGAATTCAACAGGACTGCCTTAACTTTCTAGGTCTCCCAAGTTTGCCACCTTTGACAGGTTGCAGTCTACCACTTTTCTATCACTTGTTTGAGTGGAAAATGTATTTTCCTTCTCTGACATGTTTCTGCCTTACACAGGTTTTAATGTCACTGAATTGTACATGTAAAAATGTTCATATGTAAATGTTTATATATATATGTATATATATACACTCACCATAATAATAAAAAAATTTTATGGAGCTTAAAATCTCATAAAATTATCAATGAAGTAGAAAATAGTTTTGCTATGATATGAACTCTATTTGAATAGAGCACAAGAAACTAGAGATCACAAAACCAATTCAAGAAATGATTACCCACCCTAATTAGGCTGAATTCAACCTTCACCTTTTATGTGAGTGCAAAGGTATGCTAACTTATTAAGCCAATTTACAGTTTAAATTTTTCTCGAGATGCAAAATGACTACATACTGTAATGATCCCCTTTATATGCTGCAACAGGCAAAACTAATCTATAGTAACAGCCTGGGGTTGGATTGATGAGGTGGGAAGGGACTGTTAACTGCAAAGAGGTATGAGGAAATTTTTTGAGGTGAAGGAAATGTTCTCTACCTTGATTAGGGTAGTGGTTACACAGGTGTATCCATTAATTAAAAGTCATCAGAGTACAAATAAAATAGATGCGTTTTATTGTACATAAATTATACCTCAATAAAGTTAAAAAGAAAAAAGTCTTCAATTCACTACTTCCAATTCTTCACTAGCTGCATTAGTCAGAGAAGACTAAGCTAGAGCGTAGTAATCCCTAAATCACAGAAGTTTCAAACAGCAGGATTTTTTTTTTTCACTGAATTCATTTGCTAAGGCTGCCCTAACAAAATACCACAAACTTGGTGGCTTAAACCACCAGAAATTAATTCTCTCACAGTTCTGCAGGCTAAAAGTTTGAAAACAAGTTGTAAGCAGGGCCATACTCTCAAGTCTCTAGGGGAGGATTTTTCCTTGCCCCTTCCTGGCTTCTGGTGTTTGCCAGTAATCCTTAGCATCCCTTGGTGTCTTAGTTACCAAGTGCTGCTACGACAAATACCACAAGTGGATGGCTTTAACAAAGAGAAATTTATTCTCTTACAGTTTAGGAGGCTAGAAGTCTGAACTAGAAGTCTGAATTCAGGGTGCCAACTAAAGGGGAAAGCTTTCTCTGTCAGCTCTGGGGCAAGGTCCTTGTCATCATTCTTCCCCTAGTCTAGGAGTGTATCAGCGCAGGGACCTTGGGTTCAAAGGATGCACTCCGGTACAGGAGTCCAGTGACAAGGGCCAGAAAGCAGAAGGGGACAAGGAAGCTGGTG